TAAAAGTTGAAAAAACACAAGCAGTTGTTGATTTCTCCATAAGCCACCGTGTTAGAAATGCCGGTTTGGTTCACACTTTGTATAAGTCAGAAATTAAATCCCTGTATGAATAAAATCCAAAAGTAACATACATGAATGGATTCATTATGGCTTTGACCATCTATTTATAGCAAAATTTACACAAATTAATATCGATTGACTTAAAAAATGTCGAAAAAACACAAGCAGTCGTTGCTTTTCCCGTAAGCCGCCGTGATAAGAAATGCTTGTCGGTTCACACTTGGTTTAAGTCTCAATTTACTTCCTTTTTGGAATATTATTCAAGAGTATGATACATTAATGGATTTACTGTGGCTTTAACTACCCGTTTGCAGCAAAATGTGCAAAAATTAATGATGATTGAATTAAAAAAATGTCGAAAAAACACAAGTAGTTCTTGATTTCTCCATATGCCACAATGATGATAAGTGCCGTCGGGTTCACACTTGGTTCACACTTTTCGGAGCACAAGCGGCTCGGAAAGGCCCGTTAATGGATTGACTTCATCGGCGCTCCAGTACATTGCGACTCTATTGTATTCTATGCTCTCGCACGGTTTGATGGTTTGTTATCACCATTCACTCTCAGTGGCGTTGAGTCAAGACAATTTGAATCCATTTCTGATTGGTTCCCGTATTTTAGGCCTCCACAGTGTCACAAACGGGAATAAAGATTACATTTTTACCGAATGCAAAGATTATAATCTGGAATGGACCAGGGAATTACGGGTTCGGCAAGGAACAAACGGAATGAGAGGAGGAACGGAGAAAGGAATTTGAGAATGGGCCGATCAAAGATTACGAAAAACGTTCAATTTCTGTAATCTTTATTCCCGTTTGTGAAATCCATGAGCCGAATTGTCTTGACTCTCAGTCATGGACCAAGAGAATAAATAAGGACCCCCAACTCCGGTTAGCGCTGACATCAGCGCTCCCTGGCAGAGGGTGTAGTGAACTAAACCGATGATTGGGTCTTCCCAAGGTACACTCTACTACAGGTATGGACAAACGGGGTGCCGAAGTGGCAGCGCTGAGAAAATCGGCGATCGAGTGACGTATGAAGTCGTACCGTCCATTTGCCGCGCAGGTCTTCGCAGTCGTACTCTCGATGCTGTCAAATCTACGCGTTTTGACGACTTTCTAAAATTCCATTTGTCCATACCTGTAGTAGAGTGTACCTTGGGGTCTTCCTGTTTATATTTCCATGCACCACCTATTTAGGCTTATCACTCAGTAGTGCTCATAGAAGTTTCTAGATCCTCGTATCCTCGTGGTCGCCCTGCAGTTTTGAAGAGTTTAGTGTGAAAAGTTTCCCATTTTCATTTCAATCTTCGTCAGTCTTCGTGTACATAAACTGGTAT